TTATGCAAAATTAATGGTGATTTATGCTAGTGATCGCAAAAGGTAGGTGTAAAGCAACAACAATTCGTGCAGTTAATTTCCTGAGTAATTGAAGTCCGGTGCAAAAACACATGATCGCACGGGCCCGTCCGGTGCGTTCCAGCCTGGGATGAAAACTGAGGGCAGTGAGTCATAAAACTCGCCCGCCACTCAATCCGAGTGAAGCGAAGAATGAGTTTTGTGCCGAAAAACCGGGCTTATGTGTGGGGAATTTGAGCGTAGCAAGAAGAGGAAGTGTGTGAGCGACCCCGAGAAGCAGTAAACTGTTTTGTGCCAATCTTGATATGTTATTTTTGGTTCCGATGCAATAAGTTTGGGAGCGCGCCAGGTACAATAATATTTTCTTTGTTCTGATGTTTAGCATATCATATTTGCGTGACCTCATAAATCATTCACTGTTCTTCCACATTACTTGTTTTTTAAGTTCCGAAGTAGCGGCTGTATAGTAACATAAGGAGATGATTCAAAATGAGAATAGAATGATATTCCCATTTACTTCGCCGCAGGGGACATTCCGCTAAAATTTCAGCTTCCTAGGCAACAATTTTTGGTTCCCAAGATAATAATTTTCCTTACCAAAACTTTCACAGGGCCGTTTATAAGGCCCAGGTTAACGTGTAGACTGAATTCAAATTTTCGGGATCGCACTTGCACGGAAAACTTAGTTGATGCTTGATACGGCGTTTCCATCGTAAAGAGCTGCTGATCTTCTCCAGTGGCTGAGCCGACAACTACCACACCGAGTTCTATCCTGAGTTAGCCTCATTCACAGTACTCCTGCATAATCGAGCTAGCGGATCGGGTCAACACATCGTTGGCCTTTCTAATAGGCTTTTTATATGTCGTGGGTACTAATCGCTAATCGATAACGCGTTTCGCCCAAATGTCGTCAGTCATCCTTGCTACTTGACCGGTCAAGCTTCTTTTCCTTGCATGCATTTATTATATCGTTCACATCAGAATGTACTCGAAGCTCATTGTTGCGTATGCGCTGTACTCTGCTGACACCCAACATTCGTCTCTCCATTGACCATTGTGTAACAGCTAGTTTCATTTTTTCTGCAACAGTGGTGTTCTACGTTTCGCATCCATAAAGTAACATCGGGAGAATGGTGATATTGAAGAGCTCTGTCTTTATTCGAGATAATGCCGGCCTAAGATTTCTTGTAGTTTTGTGAATGCAATCCACTCTACTCTTCTGCTTCTGTTCAGTTCCGTCTGAAGGCTGCCATTTGTATCGCCTGCCCTAAGTAAACACATGTGTCTGCTAGCTCAATTTCCTGATCGCCTAGTTTCACGGCGAAGTGCGGACAGTATGCATTCTTCATTCATTTAGTCTTCCCCTTACGGACTTTGAGCCTACTTTGTTAACAATGCTGTTCAGATCAGTTAGTAGATCCTGCAGCGTCCATGAATTTTGTGCTATCAGCACCACATCACCCGCAAAAAGCAGAATTCGAAGTTCTTCATCACCACCCACCTTCATCTTTGTAGAAATTACTCCAGTGCACATGTGAAGGCTTTAGGGGGAACAGATTTCTCCTTGTTTCACACCTCTGCTAATCTCAGTTGTTACTGAATCATCGAATAGCGCTACTTTCGTGTGTAAATTGACTAAAAAGTTTTTATGTGTTTTTGCATATATTGCAAAAGCGCATATTGGGAAGAGGTTGTCTGTGTGTGTGTGTGTCTGTGTGTTCGCACTTTTTGTCACTCACTTTCAACTCGAGAACCAAAGAAGCTAGAAGGCTGAAACTTTAGGAATATGTGCCTATACTGTGCGCAACCCTCCCGTTTTAATTTGATCCCTCGTGGATGCCTGGGTGCCGTGTGCGGACGCTTTAAAAAAAATGCAAATTTTTTGGCGGGAAAGCGATCTCGGGACCACGTGAGCTAAGGGGCTGAAACTTTGTAGGGATATTCTCTGTACATGTACTAGCTAAGGATTTCAAGTTTAGCTTCCAAGTATGCGTGGTACTCACGCAAGGGTGTTTGAAAGTTTTGCGGAAAAATTGCTAATTTGCGTACCAGGAAAGCTAGAAAGCTGAAATTTTGGGGCAATATTCCCTATCAAAGTATAACTCAGATATTTCAAATTCAGCCCTCAGCTGTACGTGGTACTCGAGTAAAAGCGTTTGAAAGTTTCTGCAGGAAAATTACTAATTCGGCAACTAAAAGAGCTGGAAGGCTGAAATTTTAAGGTGATGCTCCCTGTCTACGTGCATTTTAAAAATCTCAAATTCAGCTTTCCAGGTACGTAGGGTATCCACGCACGGGCATGCAAAGTTTTCAGCGGGAAAAC